GATCCAGGATTTGAAGTCATTACACCACTACCCATTTTCATGCATTTTGGTGCTGTCTTTAGGTCCTAAGCATCTCCTTTCCTTCTTGTTTACTAACTTCCCTAGTAATCCCCCAGCTCTAGAAACAGCCTTTCCCAGTGAGGTCTGGGGATCTCAAAGTGGCCAGCAGTGAGCTACACTTTGTACTGGATGAGGAACACGGGATGGAAAAGGAGAAGAACCATGGCATCAAGGCTAGACCAGGGCAGGAGCGGAAACTGGGGCATCCAGTTCACTCCTGTGAACAGCAGTCGCTGAGGCTACAGAAACCAGTTACCCTGCAGGAATGGACCGCCAAGATGGACCAGTCACCCTGCAGGAACGGACCACCAAGATGGACCAGTCACCCTGCAGGAACGGACCACCAAGATGGACCAGTCACCCTGCAGGAACGGACCACCAAGATGGACCAGTCACCCTGCAGGAACGGACCACCAAGATGGACCAGTCACCCTGCAGGAATGGACCACCAAGATGGACCAGTCACCTTGCAGGAATGGACCACCAAGCTGCTTGAACAACAGTCACTGAGGCTATAAAGGCCAGTCACCACACAAGAATGGCACACCAAGCTGGAAGTATACCTTACACTTTAGTGGGTTTGCCTGTGACACAGCAGTGCAGTTACTGGGGAAGAAATAGCTCAACTGCCTGCAATCGCACGACAGGCCTCTTAGAAATGAGAGTGACTTCTAATGTCAATGCAGGACAAAACATGTTGCCTCCTGTGTATGCAGTTTACTAAATTAGGTCATTATTGGAATGATTTTAAAATAGAAGGCAGAGCAGTGTCCCTACTGAGGCTCAAAGTTCTAGCATCGTCTATTTGAAAAATCACAGGGGAAAATAATTTTGCATCCCTTAGCAGGACAGAGTTGGGGCTTGTTTACTTTTCACAGTTCTGCACTTTCCCTAGAACTGGCATAAGGTCAGCCTTGTATATAGCTCGGCAACTCTATATAGTAAAGCGGGCCTTGGCTGTCTTTCCACTATTGCCTCTACCTGTTGTTTCTGTCACCACAGCTGCACAGAAGATAGCCTGTGGAAACAGTGGCCCGCTCACAATAGAGCATCTTAGCAAGCCTCAGTTTCCTTGTGAGCTTCCTTACACCCCAGTTACAGAAAGATCAAGATCAGGACTCATCAGAGGGGTCAAAGGACACGGAACTCTAACCAGGAGCTTTCAGTCAATGCGGACTCAGAGTGGGTGCTAAAGCTGGGCCATTCCTGCCCAACACAGAACTCCTGCAACCACACCAACAGCAGCTTTATCCTGTGTGGCCTACCAGCCTTTCAAAAAACGGTATAACCAATCCATGCTTCTCTCCTTCCCTCCCTTCCTCCCTCTTTTCTTTCCTGTTTTCATCTCTTCTTCCCTCAGAGATGTCTCATAACCTGAGGATCTCCCACCTACTCCGCAGAGATATCCCTTGCATCTCGTACCCTGCCCCATCGTCTCTCCCAGAAGACCTCCGCTAGCCCAGAATATAAAGTACTGACCCATCAAAAGGCCACCCCAGGAACGTGGACTATGACCACTGTATGAGCTGACTGAAGCACTGGCTCTCCCTACAGCAGAAGCTGTGACAGCAACCTCAGGACAGCCTGGCCCCAGTGTCCTCAGAGGACCCTCAGGACAGCCTGGCCCCAGTGTCCTCAGAGGACCCTCAGGCCTACAGCGTATCTGCTTTTCCTAGTGCCACTGCTTGCTGGGAGAATGTCAAATCCAGAACAACTGGAGAACTTCCATATTAGCTGGAAATGCAGGCCTCTGCAACCCCTCACCTCAGGAAGCAAACACGAGGGACCTGAGGAGCCTTTTAAGGGAACTTCACTGAGAGCCTTCGTTACAGTCTTTCCCAAGAGAGCTGTGGGTCACTTCTATCGAGTGCTTTTGCCAGTATCCTTGGTCATTTACTAGTCTTGGAGAGGGAATAACAGTCCAGGCAGTAAGGGACATGCAGAATTAATGACAACATGCACCAGTCTGCAGCCCTAAGGCTTGTCTGTGAGAAACATGGGTTACTGCTCAGTGACAAGTCCCACGGCTGCCATAGAGAACCTGTTGTGATGGCAGCTGTAAACCCCACTCTCATGAGAGCTAAGAACATGGTTCCAATCTGGTGACCCAGACGTCACATCGGAGCCATCAGCACGATAATGGCTTGTAATAAAGGCATTATTGATGCTTTGCTCAGCACAGTAGAGAGACAACAGTAACTGGGCGTTTCATTCAACTGCTTTGAAGGCAATGCTGCTTAAAGAGGCTGGCTCAGAGAACTTCACAACGAAGCCCAGGGCTGGTGTCTTTCAGACATCACTTCCTCCATCAAAACAGGAAAAAGTTTGGATCTGGTTATGCACACAGAGTCCAAGGGTGTATTGCTACTTCAGCAGACCCTAGCATGTTCAGGAATCAGGAGCAAAGTTGGGAAGAAAAGAAGCGATTCCAGAGACAGTCGCAAGCTTCACGCACTTCACAAAGTGTACAGTGACTGGGGTACCAACACTGAACTCAGAAGAGCAACTTGTGTATTGTTGACACAAGGATCCTACAAGAATGGGAGGGTGCCCAGCACAGCCACACCCACTACCTCTGGAGGAAGAGAAACCATATCAAATGAATATCAGATTAAACTACAGCTGTGATTATCTGTCCTTATCACAGACTACCCTACTATAACCCCCACTTCCATTTCTGTCAGACCATGCTAATCTGCCTTGCAGAGTAGGGAAAGGCATTGGCCTGAGGCTGACCACTCAGGCTCGGAATCACAGCGTTGATCCCTCCCAGCTGTGCCACTGTGGGTGAGCTACTTTTCTCCTAGAAACTCAGTTTCTTCACTGAAAATGGGAACAAGACCACATGACTCTGAGGGACAAAATACCACGCATGGGAAGTGTCATTGCATCTAATCACAACAGACTTAAAATCAATCACAATTGGTCATGTAACATATGGCAGATACACACCCCAGAGAGCAAAATCCCCACCCTTATATTTACCATCTGCACTGAGAAAGGAGAAAGAATTTTTTAAAATATTGCAACTGTAACATCTCACTTTCACATTAAAGACTTTGGGCAGTACATTTTAAAAAGCAAGATAACTAATTTTTTATAATAGTGGCTAAATTAATATGTATTTATTAAGTATGTAATTAAGATGTGAATCAGGATCTGATGTGATAATTAAGTCTGATCTGGGCATGACTGGAAATGCTTTAAGCTGATCACTCCATCCACCCTTCTATGATGAGGAGCCACTTTCCTCCCATTGTACAGATTAGCACACTGAAGCACAGTGAAGTTCAGTAATGTGTACAAAGTAACAACATCCCATAGAAGTAGGAAGGCCTACACTTATTTAAGGGCAATCTGACTTCCCACAAAACACTGTAATAAAAGCTAGCCAGAGATGGTGCCTCTGGGGCTGGCAAAGTTCTGTTTCTTGACTCGGCTGGTATTTGTAACAGATTTTATTTATGTGTGTTTCTGAATTGGCTTTGGTATACTTAGAACTATTTTAAATGTTAATATTGGTAAGTCAGAGATCCTCGTTTGATGATCTGAGCAAGGACTGGGCATGTGTTTGTTTGCCACATGTCCCACCCACAGGCATGGGGTGAAGTTAATGCAGTTACCACAATATTTGTTTAGACTCTTTGTAGTGATGATGCAAAAGCAAATGGAGATTATATTTTTAACTTGCGGTAATAAGTACATTTTCCCCAGAGTCCCCCAGGGAGAAAGAGGAATGGGTGTAAGGAACAGACTTATCGCAGCATTTGGAACCCCACCCCTCTTCTGGCCTGCATTTTTGCTAACGATTATTTGCCCCTCTCCTCTAATATTTGTTGTTTATATTCTCCCATACTTTCTCTTTATCTTAACTTTTTTCTTTGTTTGACTCTACTTTTTAAAATCATTTGCTTATTTTTATTTTATATGTGTGAATTTTTGCCTGCATATTGGAGCTGGGAACCAAACCTAGGTCCTCTGCAACAGTAGCAAGCACTCTTAATCATTAAACCATCTCTTCAGTGCAAGCTGGGGTCCACTCTTACACCCTCCTGGTTGCCTTCTCTCTCCCTCACCTGGTCTATAGAACTTGAGAGACATTTCTTATGGATTTTGCTTAATATTATGGTAGACTGCTAATGTTTATTCACTCTGTGGTTGGCCATGGTGGCACATTCCTAAAATCCCAGCACTCAGGAAGTCAGTCAGAAAGTTGAAGGTTCAAGCTCAGGCTTGAAACAGTGAGAAACTGTTTCAACAATAAAAAAGTTGAATGACTTGTGTACAACTTCCTTTCCACTCCAGAAATCAAAAGAAAAAGGCACAAACCAGTGTCATTTCTTAGCCTATCACAAACACTAGCTCAGGCTTTCAAATTAAGCATTTCTACCACTACAGCACCTACACAGAGAGAGCCAATGCTGCACCAAACGATGGTCCCTTGGAGGCTGCTTTGCAAGAAGCTAAAAAGAACATTCTCCAGTTTCAGAATCTTCAAGTCTTAACTCCTAGATGGAATCCATCTTGATACATTTGTATTTGCACTGAATTTGTAAACCGGCCTAAAAACATGACTACAGGCAGGAAAGTGATAAAATACCCACTGTGCCTGTGAAAGTGACACCTCAGCACTTAGTGGAACACTGTATAGAGGAGCTCCTCAGTGGGCAGACACTGTAGCACGTGTCACACAGCCTGTCCTCCTGCAGTGAGTCTGCAAGCCCTTTCCCTCCCGACAGAGTGTGATCGTAGTCTGGTCATGGAGTCTACCCGCCTGCCCCCTGAAAGTGAAGACTTATTACACAGAGCCATTAGGGAGTTCCTAGTACTCCTGGGCTCCCTGATACCAACTCCAGGTTCAAGACTTCCTCTGCTCTTTCTTAGCACAAGTCCAGTCAGCACCCCGGACAGCGACAAATCCTTCTGAGAGCAGGAGGTACCTGTTGGTTTGTTCTGTAAGCAGGTGGGGCTTCCTTGTCCGTCATTTCTCCCTCTGCTTCTGAGAACACCATTTCTTCCTCCTGCTCCTCACTCTCCTCAGAACAGGAATCAAATGCATCGGTATAATACTCCTCAGCAACCAGCGGGTCTTCTGGGATCCCTGAAACAGAGAATATGCAGCAATTGCTGTCATCGGAGTCATAACGGGGTAAGCTGGGAGCCTTGTGTATCCCCGGAGACTAGTGATGACAAAGCTTCCTTGGAGCACGGTGCTGACTCTTAGCTTCCTGAAAGTGTTTGATGGATATAGTCAGCACTTGGCAAAATTAAACCAGTAGAAAGAGGGACACTAACCTTTGAAGTTAAGAGAACAGAAGCATGGGACAAGAGTAAATAATCGTCTTTTTACATGAGCCCTTATTAAAAATGAAGGGAGTCAGGGGAAAAATAAAGATAGACACCACAGCAAGGCCTTGTTATGCAACACACAAGAGTTTGTGGCTGAAAGAATGGGAAGTAAAGTGTGTTAATATTCTCCTGGAAATTTCTTTTAAGAAAGAAAAGAAGGAAGGAAAGAAGGAAGGAGGGAAGGAAGGAGGGAAGGAAATGTCAGTAATGAGACAAAGTAAGATGGGTAGGATATTTAACAACGACATTTGGCCAAAATGAGGAAGATATCACAACTCTTTTCTAACAGGCTATGGATTCAGGTTTTTCAAATGGAGTTTGCTATAGCGGGCTATATTTATACCCACATAGGACATTTATTCAAAAGAAAAAAGAAAGGGGAAGATTGTCCTTGTAAGCTGATGCCAATAAATCTAAGTTATTTGGAATGGTATCACTAGTGACTAAAACAGAGTTGTACCCATAAGAATATCAACAAAGAATGGCCAAAAATGGGTTGCATGGGGCATGGCATTATAATTTACCAATGGGGACTAGTAATAGAGGAATACCTTTGGGTGTGAGAGGAGGAAATTACATAATGATACTCTACTGCAAGCCAGGTGAGGCTTTGCATCATTCTGACTTACAAACAGAATTATTGTTCTTACTTGTGACACAGAGTAGTGTTTTTAACACAGTGCTACTGTTTTCTGTCTGCTGGGGGAGCATGGCATTCAGGGTCAGAGCACCAGGGAAGTGTGGCACTCGGGGTCAGAGGACTGGGGTCTGACTCCTGCCTGCTTGTGTATGAAACTCTGGGCAAGGTGATTACATTTACAGAACTCAGGCTTCCTCAGTAAAATTAATATACAGATACTTGAGCTATGCAACTTGCAGACTCCATCCTAAGGTGCTTATGGAAACATCTGTGCACAGAGAAATGTAACAGAACTTCTGCCCAATTTCTATACCTGTATAAAATGGGATTTTCATGAGTGGACTCTAGAATTCTCTGAAAGAGAACATTAGCTGTAGACTTATCAGCAGAAGAAGATTTAAAATTTTAAAATCACACTTCATCTTTCGCAGAGTTTTGCCATGCTGCCGTGTGCATGTGGAGGTGAGAGGACAATGTGTGGGATCAATGCTCTCCTTCCAGTGTGTGGACTGGGATGAAAGCTCGCCATCAGCCGCCCCTGCTGAGCCATCAGGCCAGCCCCCAAAGGAAGACTTTACAATCTTCTCCTTATCTACACTTCCGCTGCAAAACAAACAAACAAACCCAAGAGGCTACATAGTGGGATCAAAATTAGTCCACTGACAAAAATTACAATATTCCCAACAGCTTTTGACAATTTCTAGGGTAGAGAGCATATGCTCTGTCTAGCCAGGAGGAGCTGCACCACAGCATGAGACATCTATGAGAACCAGATCTGCTGAAGGACCTCCGGCTTCACCACCAAGCCTGTGCTGGGAGACCTGGTGGGCAGAACCACATGCTTCTCACCTAACTCCACACTTGCTCCTTCTGCCACCATACCCCGAACCCCCATCTCTGTCAAATAGTCTGTTCTCTCATCGCCTCTCCTTCCCCTCCTTCCCAGTTTCTCCTCCTCTTCCACAGTTATTATTCATTCGCTTTTTCGTGTTCTCCCCTTCTTCTCTTCCCCCTTTCCTCTCCCCTCTTCCATTCTTTGCTTTCAAACTTGAACATAGTAAAGCACGCTCACATCACTGTCCAGTTTGCAGGGGTATACTTATGCCACCTACACACTTAAACTCTAGGACTCAAACAGTTTTCAGGAATAAAGGTTTATCCACCCAAAGTCCATGAGACACTTAGGTGTTTGCCACTCTAGTCAGTGTTTCAAAATGCTGTTGGTAACTCACGGGAAGTGACTTCTCAGTTTACAGCTTGAAACACACTGGTTTAGATGCTGGCTTCTGCACCAAAACAATCCACACATCTATCCAGACTAACAGTGGCTCTACAAAACTGGGTACCAATTTAACTTTGTGCAGTTCGAGTTTCTCATCTAGAAACAGCCTGTGGGGTTATTATGAACAATCAACAGTATAACAGAAAAAAGGAAGTATGCACCCTGTCTTGGTTCTTTACTCAATAAACACCAGCTGCTATTAGAGCTGGACAGTGAGGCAAACATCTTGAATTTGCCTGTTAATACCCAACATCAGGAAAAAATACATCAGACAATCCTAAGTATATATCAAATGTGAAATTTCTTTATTTTAAATATAATTGGTGGGTGTGGATTTTCAGAACTGACTCAAAGGCACAGTAAGGAATGACTGATGTCCCATGGGTTTTCTTCCTGCTGGCCTCCAAGGGGACACCAGGGCACTTGATACTCTCCCACCATTTGCCTGTTCAACAAGGGCCTCTAAGTTCTCTTCAAACAGGTCGGGAAGACATGGGATCTACAGTGAACGGCTAACTAGTCAAATTATTGGCTTCATAGATTGCATGGTCTTCATTGCAGTTATGACTGCTTTGAAGACAACCAATATTCAAATAAAGAGTGTGGCTAAGTTCAGTAAGCCTGATCAGGTCATATCTGTATCACCCAGACATTTTCCTCTTGCAAAAAAAAAAATACACAAAAAAACAAACTACCATCTCCCTCTTCCCATAACAGTGCTCACTGTGCACAAAGAGCCAATGTTCCTCAGCCCTCGAGCCTAAAGGAAAAAAATGATGATAGGGCCAGATTTATGCTTCCTGTGTGTGGCTCGTGGAACAGACTGGAGGGCTCTGTCTACAGCATCTCCTCTGGTGTGTGGCTTATGGGACAGATGGGAGGGCTCCGTCTGCAGTGTCTCCTGTGTGTGGTCTGTGGGACAGATGAAAGGGCTCCATCTGCAGTGTCTCCTGTGTGTGGTCTGTGGGACAGATGAGAGGGCTCCATCTGCAGTGTCTCCTGTGTGTGGTCTGTGGGACAGATGAGAGGGCTCCGTCTGCAGTGTCTCCTGTGTGTGGTTGTGGGACAGAAGGGGAGGGTTCCGTCTGCAGTGTTTCCTGTGTATGGCCCGTGGGACAGAAGGGGAGGGTTCTCTGCAGTGTTTCCTGTGTGTGACCCATGGGACAGACGAGAGGGTTCTGTCTGCAGTGTTTCCTGAGTGTGACCCATGGGACAGACAGGAGGGCTCCGTCTGCAGCGGCTCCTGAGCACACCACACGCCTGGGACTGCTTAGATATGGAATTGTTTTCAAAAGAGAAAATCAAAACAAATGTCAGCCTGCTTCAACTGTGTTTGTCAAGCTGCGTGGTTTTCTGTAGTGAGCCCAATTTGAAGCCTTGTTCTGCTAAGGCTCATTTCTCCTGTCACCGAGGGAAAAACAGACTGTGATAAATCGCTTTAATTTCCTCACACCCTGAAGTCAGCCTCCTAACAGATGCAACTGGAATGGCATTCCAGATTTCTCCGATGCTGGATGGGCGGTAACAGGGCATACATATGAAGGAATCCAGTAACAGCTGCCCGAGCTTCGACACCAGTGCTGCAAATCCATACGGTAGAGAAAGGGTGGCCTTTTCCAGATCTTTCAGTCAAGGCCTAGATAAATCCCTTCCTCAGAAGACTGGGTACTGGGGTACTGGGGTCACCTATAGGAATTGTTAGTTAACACACATCACTACATCCTAATCCCTAAAATGCTGACTTGGTAGTTAGTGCTCATTTATTTATCCAGTGTGTGTACATGTGTGTGCATGTGTGTGCATGTGTGCGTGTGCGTGTGTGTGTGTGTGTGTGTGTGTGTGTCTAGAAGTTTCTGAATGCCTTGGAGCAGGAGTTAACGGTTGGTTGTGGGTCACACAACATGGATGCTAGGAACTAAACTCTGGAATTCTGCAAGACCAACAAGAGCTCCCACTGAGCCATTTCTCCAGCCCCACAATTTGCATTTCTCAGAAGTTCCAAGCTGATGTGGATGCTGCTGGCCTAGAGTCCACACCCAAGAGCCACCGCTCAACTAAAAGTTCTTCTTATGCTACACAGAATCACTTTCATAAATGACGTGTGACCCTTCACAAGCTCTACATCTTCTGATCTTTGTGTGTCAAAGACAAAACATGAATGGAAACGAACTACTCTAGAAGAGCTAAACCTGGGCTCTCAGTGGCCTCCATTGCTCCCCATCTCTATGATATAAACAATGCGGCTGTTGCTACTTTGTTAACAGGGACACAGAATTGGATGGTGAACAGCCCAAAGTAAGTCTTTCAGTCAAACACTCTGCAGTTTTAGAAACACGCCCACAATTAGTACTCCCTTCAACCACTGCATCTTTTCATTAGACCAAAGGAATATCTTTTGTCCATCGTTCAGGTAAGAAACACAAGGGCTCAGACAGGCCGATAACCAGAGAAAGATCACACAGATGCATGTAGCATGAACATGAAACTAGAATGTAAATAACCTAAACCCTATTTCTGTGTAACCAATTCTCATCTTTGCTGCTAAAACCACTTTAAAGTCATGACTAAGACAGAGAGCTGCGGAGCACATCCCTGACTAAACCTCATACCCTAGTCCCACAGGCCCACCAAGTTCAACGCCTCAGTCACAGTTACCCTAGAGTAGGATTCCACTCACTGGTAGGACTACGGGTTTCCCCAGGTGTCTCTCAGGGGCAGATGTCCGGCTGATGTAGGCTGAGTTACTACCAGTGGAGAAAAGCACCGGCACAAAGAAAGACCACCACAGCTAGAAACGAACATCTCCCAGACAGAAGTCACCAGTCTGGTG